GAAATATATATATATATATATATATATATATATATATATATATATATATATATATGTGGAGGTTTAAATAAGAACACCTCCGTTTTACGAGAACGTAAGAACACCCTTATCGCATGTGATAATACGCGTGAGGGGACCTGGTGGTATGTGGAAGACGTGTTCTACAACTTAGGCCGCGCCAAAGGTTGTCTGCGTTTATGATTTAACATCACATGTGATGGTCTTGAGGGGATTTAATGATGTAATGAGGACTTGGTTCACAACCAAGATAATCATTAAAGTAGATTTTATAATCATTTGATTACTTATGATGTCTCTAAATCTTATATTTATATATTATCTAATTTTTATTATAATATATGTATCAAATTAAATAAATGAATGAGAAAAGCTTTACCTCATCATATATGTTATTCAGCATCTTACAAGTTATATATTTATCTTTTATTCGTATCAAAATGAATCATCGATGTATTTAAACGCGACCCTCGTGTTGTTAGTTTGTTAATTTTCATTTTTTTGGAAAACCCAAATGGATTAAAACAACAAAACAGAAAGTTCACTACATCAGGCGATATCTGTAAGGTATAGAAGTCGTGAAGAACTAAAAAAAACAAAGCTACCAGATAATATTTGTTAATTTTTATATTTTACGCTGCACCGGTTAAAACTCATGTTTTTTCTCCGGTTTCAATTTCTCAGTTATGTTTTCTTCGACTCGTGTTTGTTGTTTTCTTGTGTATGTATGTAGATACACACATTGCTTAAAATATAGCGAATACTTTATGATTACTTGTAACCTGATTTTGTTAGAAAATATAACATTTATCGTGGATGTACGTGGATTATAAGGGGTGCTTATGGGTTGGTTGATCGGGTTGAAGACATTTGAACAACTCAATCTAAAGCTTGCGGTTTGAAAAAATTTAACCCAACCCAATCCAAACCATACGGGTTGGTCGGATTGATACTTTTTGGTACATTAAAGTGTTCTTCTGACCTTGAATATGTTATTTATCTACTCATAATTTCTTTTTCATCATCAACCATTTGATACAACTTATCCATATTTCTTATGTATATCACATTTAATTAATTTTCTCAATTTACATGTATATGTTCACTATTAATAAACATATATACAAATGAGTTATATAGAGATGTTAATAGATTGAAAATATGTGCATATGAAGAGCGTACGTGATGGTGTAATTATCTAATGTATATATTAATAAAAATTTAACAATCATATTAGATCCAGGAAATAAAAGAATATCGAATTTATTGGGTTGAGTTGATTTCAAATAACAGTAACCCAATATCATCCCAATACCTACGTTTTGAAAATTTTACAACTCGATTAGAAAATCACTTTACTTCGGATTGAGTTATTTCGCGTTGGGTTGATCCGGTTATAAATTTTAGAATAAGATAATAGTTCATCTTATAGAATTCTTTTTTTTATTAACCTGAATATCCAACCCGTTATATGAACTGATTAATCTCAAGACGACCATTTATTTTATGGATAGCTCAAAGTCATCGCATTTAAAGGGGATTTTTAAATTATTTAACCTATTCGTGGTTGGGGCTATGAATAGAAAACAAAGAGTTGAAACCGAAAGTGGGGTATTAGTTAAGTAAAATCAATGATGATGACCATCAGACCACATACCCATTAAGATTATATGATGATGATCATGGGACCAAAAATTTATACCCTAATTAGATATTTCAACTCTTTCATTTAAAAATATTAATTAATTAATTAATTAATATTTGTTTATTTTTAGATTTAAAAATAAGTGGGACCCGTTTGATTTGCGCGATTGATAAGAAGTGGAGAGATTTAAAGTTGAATTGAACTGCAATCATATGTTTGGTTTGAAAAAATGCTTACATTTGAAATCCTTGAAGCTTTACTGAAATCCGATAAATATGAGATTTAGAATTCCCGTAAATGTAGGTATCTTGCGGGATTTGTTTGTAATAATGTTTAAAAATGTGTTAAAAACACTTGTTTTATAATAATCAATTAATAAAAATATAATTTTGTCATTTTTTTATATTTTTTATAATTTGTTTTTATAAATCCTACAAATTAAACACACCTAATATTCCGAATTCTTCCAATTCCAAATCCTTCAATGAAATTCAAATCCTTCAAAAATACATGTCGTCAAACCGAACATCTCTTTGGTTTGTGGAATTTGGTAAGGGTTGGAATGAAATCATTTCAAATCATGTGTTTACTTTAATTTATAAGAAAGTTTGGATATAAAATACTAGGATTTTAACGAAATCTTACAACCGATGGATTCTGTCATTTCAAATTCAAATCTCATTGATTTCAATTGTTTACATCGTGTATTTACCCCCAACACTTTCATCAAATCTGTCATAATCTCTTCACAGCTTCTAAACTAGGAATGACAACAAGGTACGGAATTGAATTCAGTCCTGGGCTCCGACCCCGGTTCATGTACCTCATCCTCGTCCGCGGTTCCCGACATGTACGGGGAATCGAATCCCCTCCCCGTTTTTCGTTGGGCCAGTTAATCCCGACTCGTCCTTGGTCTGGTTAATTTTAAGAGTTAAATTAAAAAAAAAATCTTGAATCGTGATTGCGTCGAGATAAAAAAAACGACACTTGTGGTAGATAAATTAAGAAAAAAAATAATATAATACTAAAAAAATTAGGATTGTGACAATTATAAAAAATTATTAGAAAAATATTTATTAAATATATACGCGGACAACGCTGGTTGGGGAATGGTTTATCGGTCCTCAGCCCCGGTTTTGGATAATTGGGAATCCCCTACCCCCGTCCGATACTTATTTTACGAGGAATCCCCGGTCCTAATCGGGACGGATGAACCAGGTTCCCCGAACAGATGAGGTACAATTACAATGCCTACTCGAAACAAATAAATACTTATAAAAACTAAATTTCATTTCAAATCTTACCAACCAAACAAGATTTATAAAATAATGCAGTTCAATTTCATGTTCAAAGGTCAAAAGTACCTGGAAATCTCATGTTCAAATCCAATGATGAATAAAAATTCTCTTGTGGCCATGCAGGTTCAAATGCGGTGACTCCGGGCTACCTGTAAAGCATGTGGTCATCGTACAGTTAATCGGCTCGCATAGCAAGTTAGATATCCATGTTAACAAGAAAAATTCAAGATTTTTATTATATGGGGAAAATGTGTGAATGTGTTGCAAAATGTTTAGTTTTGTGGTATTTTGGTTTATAAGTGAACCTTCTTATGAGAATTTATGAAATTGTGATAACCTTGAGAACTCGAACCTCCAAACTACCAGAGTCATTATTTGATAAATGATCACTATAAGTCAGACTCAATAAAATTTGATCCCACAGTAGCATTCAAATCATACCTTTTTATTTTATTTTAGAATGCCAACTAAGCAAAACAATATCATATCAGTAATTTTATTTTTGAAAGAATCGTAATATTTTTTTAATGTGTTGTTTATATTATTATGGATTTACAATCCTTCCAAAAAAATTAACGATGTGAAATTTTTTTACATAGCTGGCATTTAAAATAATAAAAATACTGGCAACAGGTTTGTAAGACTGACTTCTAATTAATAGTTACAAATCATTAGGTAAAACCGTAAAAAGATACTAAAAATGCATGAACTTTTAACATCTTAGGTACCAAAATATTTTTTTATAGTACATCAAATAAAATAAAAATTAAATTTTGACACGGTTTATTTTACTTATTAGATGTAAATACTTAGAAGGTCGGGGATTCAAACTTCTCTCTAGAAAATGTCTATTTTGACGTCATTATTTTATTACGGGTCAAACTCAAAGAAGATGAAGAGTTCATAAACTTCAATGTAATAAGTGAATATTCTGAGTATGAACTTTTTTTAGGGAAATATTTCTTGTTGGCTGAGCTCTTAAACCAGCTATCTAAGTTGCCCCTTTTATATCTGATTTAACTCTTACTTGACATTTTTAACATGAAAAGGTGTAAGCAGGGGCGGAGGCCTATAGGGGCTTTTGGGGGCTAGGGGCCCTATGATTTTTTATCTTTTATGTAGATAAAATGTTAGATTCTAAATTTTTATAAATTTACATACAGTTTCATGGATTTACATACATCATGAACTCAATATTTAAACAAAACTGTAAAACTCTTTCAAGTTCTATTTTTTTATTTGATTACAGACTCTATATAATACTAATATATATGACTTTTTTCAAGTTCTATGAATGTAATTTTTGAATAGCATTATCTCATTGGATAATAATTAGAAACATATATGAATATAGGGGCAAGTTTGTTGCAAACCGAGTTTAGGTTGTGAACCAAAAGACAGAGATAAAGACAACATATTCCATATGTATATATATGGATTATTTATACTATATTATAAGACATTTGAGAAAAACTCTTAAAACTCATTTATTATACATGAAATACTGTTTATTGATGTATATTATTTAAAAATTCAAGATTACAAGTAAATTGTGCGTAAATACAACTTATTGAGCTCCATGTTTGAATTCGTGTAACTAACTGTAGATAAATATAACTAAATACAGAATAAATTTCTCATTTTAAATATAAAATTTAAAATATAATGAGGATAATTATTAAGTTTTAACAGAATACTTAGTTATTATTTTTTATGAAAAATTATATTATTAAACCAAAAAAAATTACTTCATTGTTAAATCTAAATTAAATTATAATAAAATTTTGAATTAAAAAAATTACATAAAAAATGATAAATTTTTAAATTTTTATGATATATCTTAAAATTGTATTTATTAAAAAAAACATTAGTGTTTGCTTAAAACCACATAAAACCTAATTATTATATCGACAGAGACAAAAAATTAGAACGAAACATTAAAATCGAAATATGTCTCGTTGTATTATTGATTCATAATGAATGTGAAGACCATGTCCTCGTGGTGCCGTGGCGTATATGATGCAGAACTTACGACAAAATTAAGAAGTAAATTCTTTTAACACGTGCTTTTATTACTAAACGAAAAATATAGAAATTCTGCAACATCTAAAACACTATCTATCACCACGGAATGGATATGCAAATTCATCGTATGAAAATTCGGAATTTAAAGCATATCATCACAACACTACAACAACATATCTTCATCTCCAGTTTACACCTCCATTGGTTCCGGCAACGCCTCCGGCGGAGCTCCGTTGCTACCGTTGAGCACCGTCACATTTCCGTCGGAATCAACGTCAACAATTACCGAATCGCCATCCTTGATTTCCCGTGCTAGCATCTTCTCCGCCATGCTGTCTTCCAGTAGCCTCATGATTGCACGTCTCAGCGGCCTTGCACCGTAGCTCGGGTTGTATCCTTCCTCCACGACCCGATCCCTGAATCGCTCGGTTACTTGAAGCTCGATTTCTTTAACCTTTAGCCTCTCAAAGACTTCCTTCAACATTATGTCAGCGATTTCTTTGACCTCAAGTTTGGTCAACTGTCGGAATACGATCATCTCGTCGAGTCTGTTCAAGAATTCCGGGCGGAAATATTGTTTCAGTTCCTCGGTGACCAGGCTCTTGATTCGGTTGTAGCTGCTGTCCTTCTCGTCATAGTCGAGGTCGAACCCAATCCTTCGGCCACCCTTCTCGATTACACTACTTCCGACGTTTGATGTCATGATAAGAAGCGTGTTCTTGAAATCAACGGTTCTTCCTTTGCTGTCGGTCAATCTTCCGTCTTCAAGAATCTGAAGCATCATGTTGAAGACATCGGGGTGTGCCTTCTCTATTTCATCAAAGAGGACAACAGTGTATGGACGGCGACGAACCGCCTCGGTTAATTGACCGCCTTCGGTGTAGCCAACGTATCCAGGAGGTGAACCGATGAGTTTTGAGACAGTGTGTCTCTCCATGAACTCACTCATATCGAGCCGGATCATGGCTTCTTCCGATCCGAAGTAGTATGCAGCTAACGCTTTGGCAAGCTCAGACTTTCCAACACCGGTGGGTCCCGAGAAAATAAAGCTGGCAATTGGACGGTTGGGGTTCTTTAGTCCAACACGAGCACGGCGGATGGCTCGGCTTATGGCTTTGACGGCTTCATCCTGACCAACAACTCTCGTGTGGAGAGTCTCTTCCATTTTGAGTAGGCGATCGGATTCATCGGTGGAGACTTTCTCGACCGGTATGCCAGTCCAGGAAGAAACGATATGCTGAATGTCTACCTCGGTTACGGTAGGACCTTCCTCCCCGGCCTCGGTCTCTGCCTTGCTCATCTCTTTGTTTTTATCCACGAGTGCCGATATCTGAGTCTTAAGATCCATTTCTCTATCCCGCAACTCTCCAGCCTGTACACAATAGTATGAGATTAGCTATTTTTAGAAAGATGATACTCCCTCCATCCCAAAACAAGCATCCATATTTCTATTTTTGGACATTTTTAATTTGGCCGGATGGAGTATTCGAGAGAAGCAACACCTGAGCAAGCAAAAATATACAAGTACCTTCTCGAAATCTTGGCCACGAACTGCTTCATTTTTCTCTTTGGTTATTTGTCGAAGCTCTTTTTCAAGCTCTCGGGCTTCCTCCGGAAGCTGTAGGCCGTGGATGACCAATTAACGGCTGATAAAAGAGTAAAGCAAGCAGAAGAATGATTTAAAGAAATACACCTACTTGTGCATGGCGAAGCCGAACACGTGAACCAGCTTCATCGACCAAATCAATTGCTTTGTCGGGAAGGAAACGGTCGCTGTAGGTAGGTATACAAAGACATTTGTCAGATGAATACATGAAACAAGAAAAAGGCAATGCTAACCAAACCAAACAAACTCCTCGGTATAAGCAAAGTTCATTCAGAACAGAAATAGCGCTAAATTCATTTGCATCCACTACGAGAAAACTGGCTTTATAAGACGTCAAATATGTCTAAATGTCCTAGTAAACTACTTTATAAGACCAAACAATTGTGAGTCCTAACTCCTAACAAGTCCTTAAGACACAACTAAAATGAAGTGTTATAATAACATTTTTATAAGGCACTCTGGAGAAATAACCTATAAACACATCTTTTTACAGAACACTTACACTTTTTTAAATAATGTCGTATAAAAAGAATAATAAGACGCTTTCTTTCAACAATGTCCTAAAAACTTGTTAAGGACACCCGAAAACGTCCTATAAACTTACTGTAATACCTTTACATAGAACGCGTAATTGTTTAATCCTATAAGGCAATCTATTAAAACATTTAGACATATTTGGTGTACTATAAAACCAATTTTGTTGTAGTGAAGACTTAAGCTTTTAAGCCATTGATAATCATACAAGTTGCTAACTATACCATGAAGACGCACATGAGTGATGACCAGTTTGAAAGAAGGTACCTGGTACATGGCCCTTGGGATAAGGTATATAGAATCAAAGCCATAAGTGAAATAGACCAAGGGTAGTGGTTTGATATTAAGTTATGATATATGATGCCTTGCAATATTATAAAGTATAAGGGGGTTGAAGATTATTACTCATGTCCCAGAATAGGTTTCCACATTTCTATTTTAGTTTGTCCCAAAATAGGTTTCCACATTTCTATTTTAGGTGTCCACTTTAAAAAATAAGCATCATCTACTTTCCAATTCTACCGATGGAGAAATTCTATTACTCCCGCTATTATTAGGGGTAAAATTGTCATTTAGTTAATTAAAGTGTAATAATTACATATTTCTTAAACTGTGTGACTTTTTCATTGTGGATATTTATCTTAGGAGGGAGGGAATATGTACTAATTCATGTACCTTATGTATTGGTATGACAACTGAGCTGCAGCAACTAATGCTTCATCAGTGTAACGGAGCTTATGGTGAATTTCATAACGCTCACGGAGCCCCTTCAAAATCTGTATCGTCTCATCAACTGTTGGCTCGGGTACTTTTACAGGCTGGAATCGTCTCTCCAACGCTGGGTCTTTCTCAATATGTTTCCGGTACTCGTCAAGTGTTGTTGCACCAATACACTGGACCAATTGCACAAGGCCAATTTTGTGGTAAATAACCAGAACAAAGAGGGGGGGGGATCCAGTGAGTGTACAAAATTGCATGTCTGTCATGATGCATTTTGTACGGGCGACCATACAAAAACTTGTTGTCCTTAGACAGGGACAGGACCTAGTGAGATAAACTTACATTTTTTTTGTCCCACCAAAATAGGTGAAACGAAGAACGGGAAGATGGAAGAAGATTGGCGAATTACAAAACTACCCATGTCAAATTAAAACCCTAAAACCTTCCACAATTCTTTCACCCGCTCCACCTACCTCACTCTCACCGATCCAATTCTGTTCCGTCTGTGTACCAAACACCCATCAAACTCACAACCCCTCTTCATAGTAGAAAAATATATGAAAGAGAATCTGTTTGAATGTTCGATTGAAGGACAACTCATAGTGACTACAGACAACTCACGGAAGCATAATTTTTGTAAGGGTCGATTTTCAGCAGTTCAAAATTGTCCACCTTATTTGCAAAAAACAGTAACTTCTACTTTGTGTCAAATCCAAGTGTTACTGTGTACCAAACTTGCATGGCTTACCAAAGGGTCATTAGCCCAACAGAGTGCAGGTTACCAATAGAGCCCAGCCTTCCAGGAAGTCAAGGGTCCAAACCTCACCAAAACTGAGTGTGTGTGTGTGCGTGCTGTATATAAATATTATATACTTCAAAACTTGCATCGGTTTCACTTACCTGCAATTCACCTCTAGCAAGAGCTGGCTTCAAGATATTGGCGGCATCAATAGCCCCCTCTGCTGCTCCGGCTCCAATTAGCGTGTGGACCTCATCAATGAACAGAATAATCTCATCACTTTGTTTAATTTCCTCCATCAGTTTCTTTAGTCTCTCCTCAAACTCTCCACGATACTTTGTGCCAGCCACAAGAAGACCCATATCTAGAGTTATCACCTGAAAAGCCAAAAAGTATAACATAAATCCCATCTGGAATCATAACATTAAAAAGATAAGTAAAAGATACAGCTCCATTCTGTTAAAATGTTTTCTGCATATTCTTCTCCCAGTAAGGCCTTTGGTACTAATCACTTATAAAACAAACCAAAGGGTCATTGGCCCAGCGGTACAAGGTTTTCGGTTGAGCTCAACCACCCAAGAGGTCGGGGGTTCAAACTTCACCAAAAGGTGAGTGTGCGTGAGTATTTTCCATATATAAATATTATATACTTCAAAAGAACCAATAACGAATTGCCACCCACCTTCTTCCCCTCTATCGTTTCTGGAACATCACCGGTCGCAATTCTCTGGGCAAGGCCTTCTGCAATAGCCGTCTTCCCAACGCCAGGTTCACCAATAAGACAAGGGTTGTTTTTTGTACGCCGGCCCAGAATTTGAGTAACTCTTTCGATTTGTGGCTGCCTTCCCACAACAGGATCCAGCTTACCCTAGATTATTAAAGAGAACACGTAAACAAAACTTGCATAAAGAATGAATACTCATATAACTTGTAGAAACCGTACCTCCTCTGCTAGCTTTGTCAAGTTGGTGCCATATTCCTCAAGTGTTGGCATCTTGTTGCCAGAGCTCCCACCACCGACTCCAGCACCCACAGCTTCTGCACTCTCACCAACCATTCTGATAACCTACTCAAATGATAGAATATTTAAATTTAAACAAAGAGGAATAGTTAGCGTATGAAGTGAATGAAGAGTAGAGACACTTAACCAAAGATACTTAAAGTACATAGTATTAAAACTTGCCTGAGTGCGAATGTTATTTGGGTCTGCACCTAAATTCTCAAGAACACGAGCTGCTACGCCTTCACCCTCCCGAAGCAAACCAAGGAGCAAGTGCTCGGATCCGATATAGTTATGACCTGAAAATTCAGACACAGTATTAAATAAGCGACTGCTGAACTTACTATATTATGATTCAATAATTCCTTGCACATAGAACATGCAATTTCCTGAGAGAGTGAAGATATATATATATATATACACACACACAGACGCTAATCATGTAACCACAAAAACGTTACAAACCATGAGAACCGTGCATCATGAGTACACATGATATTTTCCATCTAAATTCTAAGCCTAGGATTTAAGGTATTGATAACATATATTTGTTTCACAATGTGAAACTTTTTACGTAAAAGAGATTCACATTGTGAAACATTAATTAATACTTAAATCCTAGCATATGACGAAAAAAATTATGTGAAACAAACCTAAAGGTAAAAGTTCTCACAGTTCTCACAACATATGGGGCCTCCTTTGATTATTCCCAATATATATATATATATATAGAGAGAGAGAGAGAGAGCGGTTTTACCAAGTTGCCGTGCCTCCTCTAATGACAGTTCCAAAACACGCTTTGCACGAGGTGTGAATGGAATCTCTACAGCAACAAATCCACTTCCCCTACCAATAATCTTCTCTACTTCCACGCGTGCATCTTTCAAATTAATCCCCATTGACTTCAGAACTTTTGCTGCAATGCCAGTGCCCTCACCAATAAGACCTAATAAGATCTGCTCAGTACCCACAAAGTTGTGACCAAGCCGTCTTGCTTCCTCTTGTGCAAGCATGATAACTTTGATAGCTTTCTCCGTGAAGCGCTCAAACATGGCTTTTGGCACAATTCGAGAAGGTTTTGCTCGTCGTACAGAGGTGGCAGCTGCAACCTTTGAATGGAAATCTTGACCCCTCTTTACCAGGTTGTCTAAAGCATTGGTTCCTCGCAAACCAGAGAAAGTCATCACCCTCATTGGAGGAGTTTGTAAACTATACATCATTTTGACTTCTCCTTTCGTATTACCAGATCTCTTTGGACGAACCTTGCTTTCACCAGCAACCGTTGAAGGAAAACTGGTAGACTGAACCAGAGCCCCAGCCATGATTGCAATCAAATGATCTGCAAATAATGGATTATCACCAAGTGATTACACTCCACTTGGGAACATAGAGATGTCCCACCATACAATTATAGCCATGTGATGATGGACAGCATGACCAAACTAACACCAAAGGGTCGTTTGCCCAGTGGTATCTGGGTTACGTGTAACTAATTGAGCTGTTTAGCTACCTCATATTCTGGTCCACTATTGTGTGAGTTTTATGTGGTGGAGTCAGCATGTATAGTTAGCAACAAGTTTGTTCATCGTTTAAAAACATAAGGTAGCTAAACAGTTCAATTAGTTACCCGTTAAATTATATTCCCAACTAACTAATAATATCAGCACCGAAGAAAATAAATAATCAAAACCTTCCTTCATGTAAAGAAGACATTACTTTACTTTCCATCAAGAATATCTCCAAACAATTGGTTCATTCAAAACTTATCAATTTCCACAAATGTTCACAATCACCATATCAAAAAACTGTCAAACCATATTAGATTTCAAAACAGGAAAACCCCTTTCTAAGGTACGGCTTACCACCAAATTCTCATTACAATTAAAACAAAACAAAGAAAAATAAATTTCACCTCAAGGATTAAATCAACAATATATACAAAACTTTCCACATCTTATCATCATAATCATCTCTCAACAACATCAAAAGCTTTGACACGCTAAACCTTTAGATTGAACACCAAAATCAACATCCACGCAACTCGTTCAATAGACATTTAACAAATTCACACAATCATTCAACGAGTATCATCAAAAAACAACACGAACACGTAAATTCGCTAAACCGAAACCGAAACCGAAACCGAAACCCTAACATATCAGTAAACATATACATACATATACACACAAACAAACATATTAGGTCAAAAATTACCTGAATCACTGGAGTAAACTTGAGATTAACAGAAAAACAGATTCCAAAAGATTCTTTAAAGGGACCTTTTGCGAAGGTCCGCCTGATTGAATAGATGTGGATGATAACAGTCGGTCGATTTATATATAGAGAGAAGAAAGACGATATCTTGTTTCAAAATGTTGTTTGTACACGCCACTCCATCGGGGTTCGATGGACCAGCATCTAGCGCAAAACGGAAATAAAGGTCATGTAGGTTGCTAACGTCACTGGTGTATCTCGAATTGGATGCGTGACTGACCGTCCGATTACCGATGAGATGGTTGTGTGGGACCCTCCTGGGTTGAGATTATTTTTCTTCTACCCATTTTGCCCTTTGGTAGGTAGCCTTTAATTGGCTGGAGTTTTGACTTTTTGAGATTGCTAAAATTGGAATTTTCACTGTGAGGTGCGGTCTATAAGACGTACCATAGGAGACAATATTTTGGTCTAAATAAATTGAGTCGATATGTTTAAAATATAAAAATAAAGAATATCTACTATATTTCATTAGCGTTTATTTAATGGTTCTTTTTAAGGGTTATTTTTAAATAACCGGTTTATACAATCCTTTATATTTTAGAGGTTTTGTCAAAATAACCACCCGGATTGTCCCTATACAATGGGGGCGATCCCGGGTAAAAAAAAATTTCTTAAAAGTCGAGATTACTGTTCTCCTCGTTGACCGTGTTTGACCTCGCCCCCAGGGAGATCCGTACTGTACCGGGGGCGATCCGGGTAAAAAAAAATTTAGAATCAAATTTCATGGGAAAAAGTTTAAAAATAAATCTTTATAATTATGGAGACGCAAAAATTATTTTTCTTTGTGTTTTTTAAACCAAATTTTAACTTTTTTCTGTTTTTTATTTAACAATTAAGGGGTGTTTTTAATAAAAATTGAAAAATACATAAAGTATGTCTTTTTACGAATTTAATTTTAAATTTCACGGTTTTTCGTTATAAAATAACTGGATGATAATTGTGATTACGAAAAAAAAATATTTAGAACACGTTTGACGACCCCAGATATAACGTATTCGTTTTAAAAAATAAATTGAAAGGACCACGTAAACTTAACTTTTTCGTCACACGTTTAACGACCCCAGAATACGTTATTGGCGAAGACAAACGTATTGCACATGTGGGGGAGGTTATCGGAAGATACTCTAAAACACCATTTATAACTTGGAATAAACCACCACTTCGAAGATACACACAAACATTATCACTTTCACATGATTTCATGTTTTGTGATGGTTGATTATGTTTAGTCGGTTAAAGGTTGTGATGCTTTATTGTGTTTAATGGGTTAAGGGTTGTGAGAGTAAAATATATGAGAAAAAAAATGGAAGGGAATGTGTGAAAAATTATGAATTAGGAGGTTGGTATTTATAGTGAAATTGGTATTAGAAAAAAAATTAAAAAAAAAATTTTTTTACCCGGATCGCCCCCGGTACAGTATGGATCGCCCCGGGGGCGAGGTCAAACACGGTCAACGAGGTGAACAGTAATCTCGACTTTTGAGGATTTTTTTTTTTACCCGGGATCGCCCCCATTGTGTACGGATCACCCCCGGGGGTGATCCGGGTGGTTATTTTGGCAAAACCTCTAAAATGTGGTTATTTTGTGGCAAAGAGTTGTGTAAACCGGTTATTTTTATAAATAACCCTTGTAAGTATGTGTTGGTTTGTATAATAAATCATCTCTAGCAAAAGATTCATAACTTAAATTCATAACATTTTTATATTTTAGGGAACGATATTTTTTAACAAAAGTAGGTTCAAACGAGAACACCATCGTGTTATTAAAACGTGAAGACACGTATATTATAGATGATAATATATTTGAAAGGTGCATTTGGTGTCCAGATAGGATAGGACATAACAGGACAGTACATGACAAAGTAATTGTTCAACGTTTGGTTTGGTAAGACAGAACTGGACAGAACTGAGCAAGTAAAATAACCAATTTACCTCTAATGAGTTGTTTATATATTTTGATTAATTTATGTAATTTATTAAATTATAATAACATAATTATTCTTTATAACAAAATATATCATTAGAAGGTTTTTATCAAAACAATTAAAATGATAACCAAATAAAAGGTTTACGTAGTTTCTAACTTTTATATTATCCCTGGTCTATATTATTTTTTTATTATTAATATATAATAAATTACATAAATTAATGAAAATATAAAAACCGTATAAAAATAATATTTTGAGAAGAGTAAAATAAAAGTTTAAAATGCAAAAAGTACGATGAATGAATAAGATATAAGAGAATTAAGTTTTATTTTGAGATTATATTAGTAAAATATAAATTTGTTCCACTTTATTCAGCCTGATCCACGGGGTAGGGGTGGAACAGGCATGTTCCACTTTATCTTGTTTGTTTCACATAAAAGCTTGCCAAACGTGGAACAGAACCCATGTTCTGTTCTGTCTTGTTCTATCTAATGTACAAAACACACCTGAAGGGACCTGGTAGTGTGCGGACGACTTGAACTTCGAGTCGCGCTAGGTCACATTAAAGGTCATTCACATCTTTGATTTTATCATCACATGTGATATATATACTATAATATCACATGTATTATGTAACCATGCCATTTTATTCAATGCCATCAATAATCAGAAGTTAAACTGTTACTTGTGAAAATGAATATCAAGATATTAAATATGAATAACTGAACATTAGTTACACAAGAAGAAATTAAAATATATTATTATATTAAATAAAAGAGTGAATTATACTGATGGTCCATGCGGTTTGCTCAAATTCTGGATTTAGTTTCTAATACAAACTATCTGTACTGGTGGTCATTAACTTTTCATTTTCATAACAAACATGGTCCCTCCACTTAACAATATTATTACTTAGCAAACATTATGATGGACTCATTTGGTCTTTAAATAAACTATATGAACCAAAAATGCAATCTGCTTTAAAATACAATGTAATTCACATTTTGATAAAAAAAAACGTGAATTGTTTTATAATTTAGAGCAGATTGCATTTTTGGGCCCTATAGTTTGAGAAGTGTGATATAAACCTATCTTTTTATAGAACACTTGTGTTTTATATGACATTTTCAAATAGTGTTGTATAAAATAGTTAATACGATAATATTTTATTATAAATAATGTTAAAACACCTAAAAAAAATCATATAAACTTATTGTTACGTTTTCAAATATAACGTTTTTTGGTTTGTTCTTATAAACTTAAGTCCTATAAATTATTTTATTATGACTCTTAAACATTTTAAGCGTCCTCTAAAAACAAGTTTACCAGGGACGTTCCAATTTTTTTTGGAGGCCCTGTTAAACCGGAAGTTTTTTTTTATTACATTGCAAAATGAGATAATATATATACATACTTGAGATCATTTGAGATCAGACTGTTTTCGTGAGACCCATAAGACCACTTTTTACACTTGAACTTTAAAGCAAAACACTGTGAAAGTTACCTTTACAGTGTTTCTATTGTGAATGTTCAGATTTTTTTTACCTTCACAATATTTTGCTTTGAAGTTTGAAGTGTAAATATGTAGTCTCACGGGTCTCATGAAAACAGATTGGTCTCACGTGGAACCCAACCATATATATGTGTGTGTGTGCTATTAAAAATCATCTAAAAGAATATATATGTCATTTGTTTATTCATAATTTTTTTTATTTATAATTTTCACGATTTAAACATTATTATTTTTTATTTTTTATTTTTTACAATATATAAAATAAGTATGATTTATTTTTTATTTAAAATATTTATTTTATTAAAATAGTTTATTATGGGAACAAATATTAAAAAAAAAAAAGCAAGGTGATATAAGAAGCAATGTGACGAATTAAGAACCGCTCAAGACGATGAAACATGGAGCAAGTACGGCCACTTAATATTTGTGGAATTTCTTTTTCTCAATTAAATATTGAAAAAAAATATCGAGATTTTGCGACAATAAAATATCAAGTTTTCTCGTCGATTTAGTTCTGACTCGAAAATTTCAAAATAATCTTCCAACTCGATAAATTACGTTAAAAATTTGATTATATTTTTTTAATTACACAGATGTAAATTTAGTAAAATATGATCATCTCCACTGAGGAAAATAAATCTTACATCAAATTTGATGTAACGCTATTCATTTATACTATTTTTAGTCCAGTGGTAAAAGATATAAAAGAATGTACCTAAAATCTTACATTTTTTTATTAACCTGGATATCCAACCCGTTATGCGAGCCGACTAATCCCAAGGCAACCACCTGCTTTGCAGATAGCCCGAAGTCACCGCATTTGAACCTCCGTGACCACAAAGGGATTTTTATTTCTCATTTGATTTGAACCTGGAACCTCCTGGTACTTTTGACCTTGAGAGTCGAAGCTCAAACCAATCAGGCACCACCTTTGTAGTTTTGAAGATATGGTTGTTTCTTTCCTGCCAAATATGATAGACAGCTCCAGCAAGCACTAAGATCTTACATTTTAGTGTAAGATGTGGTGTTACCTAAGTAGATTTATTGTTACATCAGATTTTATATTGATTTTTATAAATTTGATATTACCCGTCGGAGATTATTAAGAATTCATGTTTTATGTTTGTCATTATACCAAGAGTGACAATATAGATGATTGGGTACAGTTGGGTTGGACTCATCCATCAACATTTTTTACCCTGTTTTTTTAATTTTGTAAATAACTGATGTGTTATACCAGCTAAAGCTCCATTCATTCGGTTAGATTGTCAGACTGAATTTGATAGTTGAAGAAGTTTTCTCAATTAAGTTTCGAGCTTGATCGAGAAATATCCAAGCTCGATTCAAGAGTTTTCAAAGAGCTCGAAAATATATATGATAACTATGTTTAATAGAGAACGCTTGATCAAACTCAATCTGTAGATATTGAGACATACATAGGGTTGAGTTCTAATGAGAATTAAAGTAATGGTGAAAAGCGTAAGAAGAAATATCCATCTTTGGATCAATCATAATTGAATGTTAACAGTAATGAGGCACACCGAAATGCACCAGATCAATTTCCTTCTAAAATGCAATTCATTGGTGGACATAAGATTAAAAGTGATCAAGAGTGCAGATCCATTTTTACCCTTCTTATCATAATTTATCTTCTTAAACAATCCTTCATCGACATACATATGGCTCAAAATAGTTCAATAAGAATTAAGATCAAAATCCTATAAACTCAAATTATACCTCGTTTTTTATTTGAACTACAACTTGATAACCTTTGACTTGGTCAAGCTTAAACTCGAATCATAGAACAAAAGTTTGACTCGTTTGTAGCCCTAAATTTAATTGCAAAATTTATATTATTTTTATAAAATAACATAACATTTTTCTTTAAAGAAGTGCAGATTGCAATAAGACAAGTGACGATGGTGACTTTTATTGGTTAAGCATTTATTCAATAAAAAGAATTTAGAAGCCGTTTACCAAACGCTTACTTGATAGGCGTTTACCAAGTCACATTACCTTATCGAATGAACATGGCAAAAACCAAAAATCTTACCTGATAAGAACAATGACAAAGTCTAAGGGGTCGTTTACCAAATGTTTATCATGTAAGCGCTTACCAGCGACATAAATTACTTATCATGTAAGAATCTCGTTCATCAAAATAGATTGTTGGTAAAAGTTTCAAACCCGATAAACACTTATCAGGTAAGAGTTTTTTCCCTCACTTTATCGGGTAAGATTTTCTGTCCTTGTTATGCATCTTACCGGATAACATTCTTGATTTTTGTTATACTTAATCAGTAAGGTAAGCGATAACGGTAAGCATATAATAAAAGGCTCCTAAAAAGTATTACTCGGTAAGTGAGAGTGACGACTCTTACCCGGTTAAAGATTACCGGACAAATTGTTACATACAATGTCATTTTGATGGACTAAATTTTATCCGATAAAGTAAGTGATAATGTTACATTTTATCAATAAACCTTTACGGGTTAAGATTTTAATCTTTTTAACACATCCCTGGATTAAAATAATTTTAGTCAAATACGACAATTGAATGAAAGTACAGGGGGGTAAAAGTGAAATTTACGACACCTGAAAAACTACCATTTCTGGGTTCTCCACCCCCATGATCATATGAAACCCGAACTTGCAGCGATCGTGTGATCTGTAATGCAAAATCTCATCGCAAGGAATCTCTTACATGCTTTTGGTATTGATCTTCAAGTAATTTGTACTAATCCATTGGTAATAATACTCGTGATTCAACTGCATTTTTCTTCGATCCTAAAATTCTTCACCATTTTCACATTATTCGTTGATCTCGAGGTTCGATTGATGCAGATCAATGGCGGGAGCCGTGTCTGCACTTTTCATTCTCGATATCAAGGGACGTTGCTTGATCAGTCGTCACTATCGTGGTGATATTTCATCTGTTGAAGCCGAGAGGTTCTTCACCAAGCTCCTTGAGAAAGAGGTACTCATGATATTAGTAACAATTCAAATGTATCCATGCCTGTTTTTGCACATATTTTGATGTCTATGAAGAAGAATTGAAGTTTTAGGTTTTCTGGGAAGCAAAATATCTTCAAAGTACATGCTGATTGTAATTGTAAAATAGATTGGCATAGCTCCGATGATACAATTGTCCTACCATACATTGAAGAACAACTAGTAAATCATTGAGAATGCCACTAATTAAGTTACTAGAATCATGGAAATATTATGAGATTTAACATCATGCTAATTTGTGGACAATTTAAAAAAAAAAATGTGGAACCCGCGTAGATTACTGATCAAAAGAGCCCTTGTTGAACTGACTTGGGTGGACTCATAATCCCCCCTACAATGGGGCTAATGACCGTCGAGTCCTTAGAGTGGTGAACTTAGCTCTGGTACTATGTGAGAATAGGTGAAATCCCGTTAGAATAATAGCCAAAAGAGCGTTTGAGGAGAGAAATGAGGTTTTAACATATATTATGGAGAAATGGTCAAAATCTAGCCGATGTTGGACTCTAACACATATGATCTTTGTCTATCAGGAGGACATAGAGTCTCAAGGTCCAATAGTTTATGACAATGGTGTCTCTCATGTGTTCTTTCAACACAACAATGTCTACTTGATGGCAGTATCAAGGCAGAACTGTAATGTTGCTAGCCTCATTGTATTTCTCCACCGGTTAGCAAATGTGAGTATATTTGACTATTTCTTACTCCATAGTAACAATATAATAAAATCTGTTTAATAGGATATTAAATATGTCTAAATGTAGTAATAGATTATTTTATAGGACTTAAGTTTATGGGACCAAACAATTGTGTCTACTATTTAAAAGTGTTGGAATAGGATGTTAGGGCGTAATTTTTTAAATAAATTCTCCTATTAGTTTTTTTTATATGACACATGAACATGTTTGTTTATTGGGCAGTTTTTTTATAAGCCACTTTCAAATTATGTCATATGAAAAGTCTAATAGGACACTTGATTTCTAAAGTGTTCTAAAAAGCTTGTTAAGACGTCCGAAAGCATTCTATCAACTTATTGTAACACATTTGCATATGATGAACAATTGTATGGTCCTATAAAGTTAAGTCTAATAAAGTTGTCTATTAGACAGTTTGACATATTTGACGTCTATAAAGCTGATTTTGTTGTAGTTTAATGATTATAGTTCTGCTTTTGCCTAAAATTGATATTCGTATCATGTTAGTTCTTAATAGTTTATCACTTTATGCAGGTTTTTGAGTATTATTTTGAAGAGTTGGAAGAAGAATCTCTCAGAGATAACTTTGTTGTAGTTGTAAGAATGATACCCTTTTTTTGCATATCAACTAATTAATTATATTGGAAGCAAACTCTCTACTCTTTAGTGTAGAAGTCAGGTCTGCATACATACAACTTGTTGGTTTGGTTTAACTAATTAAATATATGGTCAACCTATTTCACATTTGAGCTCATGCTTAGCAAACTATGGCAGTATGAATTACTTGATGAAATGATGGACTTTGGTTACCCACAATATACCGAAGCAACAATTCTAAGTGAGTTTATCAAGACAGATGCTTATAGGTTGGAAGTTACACAAAGGCCTCCAATGGCTGTTACCAATGCAGTCTCTTGGCGAAATGAAGGGATATTTTACAAAAAGAATGAAGTATGTACATCTTTTGAACGGGATATTACTATAATGTAACATTACTGATATTAACATTGCAATGTTCTGTTTGTGTTTTGTTACTTTCAGGTATTCCTAGATGTGGTTGAAAGTGTTAACATACTAATCAACAGTAACAGACAGATACTTCGATCAGAAGTTGTGGGGGCATTGAAGATGAGAACATGTTTAAGGTGCCTGAATTTTTTGTTGTAATGTATTGTTTAACATCGAGTCCCATATCACTAGGCTTAATTGGACCACCTCTCATCAACATATGAGGGAATCTCGTTTTTCTCCTCAAAAGTTCTTTTTGATTGTAACCTAATGGGGTTTCCGATATTACCACAAGCATAAAAGGTGAATAATCATTAGATCTAGGAGCTTTTGACACTATATGGGACACATCTCTAAAAGGGTGAATCTGTCATGATGGATGATGACATTTAAGAATTGGCTAACTCTATTACTCTAGTATAAATTTTTTTTTTGAGAAGAGGGGCGTGTTTGTTAGCAGCTTAATGAGCTTAACGGGACTCGCAACCATTTTGTTCAGCTATAAATAACAGTTTCGTAGAGGACTAATGATATAAAAAGTGGCTTATTCAGTAAACTTCTAGTGGAAAGTTTTATGCTGAAAACCAATTTTTTTTTCAAGCGTGTACCTTCCAATTGAAAAGCACGCTCCTTCCATCTATGAGTAGACTCTCACAAACAAAAACCTTCCGAATCTATACAGACTGATTAATCCCAACATACAGTTTTATCCATACAGGACTTAATGGAAAACCGACTTAATGGAAAACCAACTAAACAGCCCTATATGTTAGATAGTAGATACCCATTAGAAGACTCTTCAAAAGAGCCTTTGAGGAAAGGAGGGAGGTTCCAACATATGTTGAGGATAAATGGTCCAAGTCTAGCCAATGTGGAACACTATCACACCTCTCCAATGGAGGCTAGGCGGACACTATAACATTTGTTGCCATTGTTTCTTACAGTGGAATGCCTGAATGCAAGCTTGGGCTTAATGATAGACTTCTGATGGATGCTCAAGGTCGAACAACAGAAGGAAAATCAATTGATTTGGAAGACGTTAGATTTCATCAGTAAGCCTTGCAATCTCAATGCTCTTCAAATCTAGAAGCATGTTACTAAAATGTGTTTGCCTGATTTATATAATTTGGTTTCTTAAGTAGTTAAAAGTTCTTCACACTTGATTGTTGTTTCCGTCAGGTGTGTACGACTCGCCCGCTTTGAAAGTGATCGCACGATATCGTTTATTCCTCCCGATGGATCATTCGATCTAATGACATATAGACTCAATACTCAGGTTATCTTCAGTTATAGGCATCATTTACAATCATGCTTCATGCATCTTGTGTTCATTACAACAAAAGCGGTCTTATAGGACGATGACTTACGTCTAAGTGTCCTAATAGACTGCATAATAAGACTTAAATTTATAGACCAAACAACTATATGTCCTATATAAATGTGCTACAATAAAATGATAGAACATTTTTAAGTGTCTTAACAAGTTTTTTTAAGACAATGTTGAAATAAAACATCTTATTAGTCTTTTTATATGACATTATTTGGAAAATGTCTGATAAAACAAGTATCTTATAATAAGATGTGTTCATAAAATACTTTTCAAAAGGGTCCTATAAAAAACTAATATGACACTTCATTAAAAGAGTTCTCCTAAAAAACTTTCTAGGATGCCGAAATACGTCTTAACTTCTTATTGTAACATCTTTAGATATGACACACAATTCCCATAAACTTAGGACATTTAGACATGTTTGACTTTCTATAAAGCCGATTTTGTTGTAGTGCTTCACCGTTGCTTGGTTTTTGACACGTCCTATATCGATTAAAACATCTCATTTGTGACAGATCGTTTGTGCCTCAATCTCACCTGATTCATATCTTCATATGTGATTAACCAATTTGATTAAAAATGTTCTTTTCACCAATCCTCCATATGTTGCTAGGTGAAACCTCTTATTTGGATCGATGCTCAAGTTGAAAGGCATGCGAGAAGTAGGGTCATGCTTATAAAAGCTAGAAGCCAATTCAGGGAGCGAAGGTATTTGTAACAATCCGTCCCATATGGATAGAATATTGAATTGCTAGCTCAGCTTCAAGTTGTGGGCTACCAATAACTTCCACTATAATTTTATTTCGAAGTTGTTGGGCCAGCCTGCTGCTTTGGACTTGGGGCATTACAGTATGGCCTTAATTAGGACCTTAATTATCCATATAATACAGTAGCTAATTTAACTCAACTTCAATAGCTAATTCGTAATACAGCAATGCAACAAATGTCCACATTGACATACCGGTGCCATCCGATGCTACGAAACCTATTGTTAGGACAACGATGGGAAGCGCTTCCTACGCTCCTGAACATGATTCGATTGTATGGAGGATCAAAACCTTCCCCGGAGACAAGGTAATTAAGATACGTATTAGAACATCCACAATGGTAACCTTTTTTTATTAAATTTTTTTTCCTAATAGTGGGGACCCGCAAGCTTAGGTGGCCAAACAAAACAAGCAAAAATCGAGACCCACAAGGTTATTGAAAGTTTGTGTAGTTAGGGTACGTTTGATATCCAGACAAGATAATACATGATAAAATAGAACAAGACAGAACAACTATTCAGCGTTTTGGTAAGACAAAATTGGACAGAACAGAGCGGATAAAATTTATCAGCTTACCCCTAATGAGTTATTTATATATTATGGATAATTTATTTAATTAATTAGATTATAATAAATAAATATTTTTTATAACAAAATATATCATTAGAAAGTTTTTGTTAAGATGATAAATAACACTAAAATAAAGGGTTCATGTTGTTTCTGGGTGGAACACGCTTATTCCACTATGTTCCTATCTGTACCACATAAAAGTCTTGTCAAACTTGGAACACTGATCCATGTTATGTTATGTCTTGTCCAATGCATCAAACGCACTCTTAGGTAACATATGATATGCATACATGATTGTAAGGGACGGTATAGGACAAGAGAGTAGGACTTGACATGACAGTTTTTTGGTATTTAGGAGGTTTTTCATGACAAAAAGATTATGTTTTTCTATCGGGAGGTTTTTCATGACAAAAAGATTGTGTTTTTCTATCGGGAGGTTTTTCATAATCTTAGGCAGCTAAAAAGCTTTCCAAAAAGGTTTTGGAAAAACTCCATTGTGGATGTTCTTTGCATCGTTGCAAATGCTCATCCGTTTTCTCGTGGCACAATTTGAGCATCAAAATCACAGGTATATATGTTAGGGGCCGAATTTAAGCTCCCGAGTGTAACTTATGAAGATGGAACGACCGACAGAAAAGCTCCCATACGCGTGAAGTTTGAAATACCATATTTTACTGTATCGGGGATTCAGGTATGTATTTCCGCACATCTGCTACAACCGTCACTACAATAAATCGGCTTTATGAGATGCCAAATATGTCCCAGTTATAGACTGTTTTACATGACTTGAGTTTATAGAACCAAACAAATGTGCGTGTATTTAACAAGCTAATAAAACGTTTTTGGACGTCCTAACAAGTGTTTTAGAACACTTTTGAAATAAGGAATCCTATTAGTTTTTTTACATGACACCGTTGAGAAGTTTCCTGTGAACATATCTTTTTACAAGACACTTATTTTTATAAGACACCTTTTAAATAATGTCATATAAAAATACTAAGAGGGCATTTTATTTTAAAAGTGTCCAAATACAAGATTTGGGTTCGATCCCAACCCCCGCCGCTAGCATCACCCGCTTCATGAGCCAAAAAATGCTCCACATTGTTGTTCTTGAAGGCGTATTCCGTGTTGGACTGGTGGGGTTGCCAGTAATCAACTTTTTGTCCAAATATGACGTTTTATTTCAAAAGTGTCATAAAAACTTGTTAGGACGTTAAAAACACACTATCAACTTATTATAACACTTTTACATAGGACAAACAATTGTTTGGTTCTACAAAGCAGGCTATTACAACATTTAACATAGTTAGCGTCCTATAAAACCGATTTTACAACCTTGATTGAGTATTCTCAATACGAACCCAGTAATATACTTTATGTATATATGGTTGTAGGTTCGTCATCTGAAAGTAATCGAAAAAAGTGCATACCAGACACTACCATGGGTGAGATACATAACAATGGCCGGTGAATATGAGATAAGACTATAGTGAAAAGCCCCCCCGCCCCCTACAAGAGCTGCTGCTTACTTTCTTCTTTGTTTCTAGTTTAATCATCTTTAATTATAGGCATATAACTATATATGGTAACATGTTCTTGGTGTATCCTCTACAACTACATGTTTTGCCATTCTTTCACTATTAATTGTTAAAGATAGTTATATATGTATATATGTGTATATATAGACTTGGGATCACGTGAGATCAGCCTGTTTTCGTGAGACCACTTTTTTACACTTGAAACACATCTTTTAAAGCACAAAGTACATTGAGATTGATTGACATTTCAATCTCAACATGTGGTCAGCAAAACAATTCCACTCTTGTATTTTTTTTCCTTTCCTTTTACTTTTTTTTAACTAAGAGGCTGTTTAGGATGCGTTTGGTACGCAGATAAGACAGGACAAGACATTACAGATGTTCATCGTTTAATAAGACATGGCATGATAGAACTGGTTAAAATGACCAATTTACCCCGAATGAGTTATCTAGTGTTTTTTCACTAAATAATCAATCTAAATGTTAACAAATACTATTTAAAAATACAAAAAAATATCTTAAATAAATTTTAAACAAAAGTAAAGATTTCAACATCATGTTTACCAACACAAAAGTTGAAAATTTTAATATTAGGTACCAAAAGACATAAACACAAAAAATTCAAACATTTACTATTGTGTACCAAAAGACCTAAACACAAAAGATTCAAATGTTTATCAACTAACATTACATGTCTAACTTTTTTAAGATGGTCCTCACAAATTTTGGCTTGAAAGTAACATTAATGTCATTCAAAGACGTAGTTGAATCGGATTATTTGCAAAATACATGCTAATGGTAATAATCTGGTCACCATCAAAATCCATGTTGCTTAACTCATTAGACATACTTTGTAAACCCATAGAACCAACAAGTGATACCATCTTACTCATTTCATCGGATAACGATTGCAACCCCTTTTCAATCATTTTAATTGCATCTTCGGAAACACCAAATTTTCTCTTTCTTTTTTTGGATAATACTTCTACGTCTTGTGAGAAATGGAGGATGCAGAAGCGTCATTAGAAGAAGTAGACGAAGGCACGTTCAATTTTTCGGTCTCAGCACCGACTTCATTTTCTAGATTGATGTGCTTCAATGCATCCGCGGCAAATTCCATCATCAATCCTGTAGCTCGATATTTGTCAAATATCATCTTCAATCACTCATATTAAGGAAACGGTTTGTTGCAATATAGTTTTTGCTTGAATGTTTCTATAAAAAAAATCACAAATATATAGAAAAATCCAAGCAAAAACTAAATCACCAACAAATCATTTCCCCAATATAAGTGATTAAAGATTATATTTGGAAAAGATCAGGCTATAGGATCGATGGTGAAATTTGTTGCAGATGCATTGGAGCACATCAATCTAGAAAGTGAAGTCGGTGCTAAGACCGAAGAATTCAACATGTTTGTATACTCCTAATGACATTTCTGCATTCTTCATTCCACAAGACGTAGAAGCATCATTCAAAAAGAGAAAGAGAAACATTGATGTTTCGAGAGATGCAACCAAAATGATTGAAAAAAGGTTGCGACCATTATTCGAGGAAATGTTTAGGTCTTTGTTGCAATATTTGATATTTGTGTTTAGGTCTTTTGATACACAATATTAAACATTTGAAATTTTGTGTTTAGATCTTTTGATATCCACTAGTAAACATTTCAATGTCTGTGTTGATAAACATGGTATTTAAATCTTTTGATTTATGAATGTAAATCTTTTAATTAATGTTTATTTAAATATTTTTTGGTATTTTTAAATAATATTTGTTAACATTTAAATTGATTATTTAATGAAAAAAACACTAAACAACAAATAAATTGATCATTTTAATCAGTTTTATCATGTCCTATCCATATACCAAACAACCTCTAGTTCCGGGAGGTAATGGTGAACACACATGTCCCATGTGTGTTCTACTTAGTTCCATTGTGTTCTTCATATGAACACGCCAAACATAAGGCAAATGTGTCATGTCTTGTCCCACCTTGTTCTGCATACCAAACACACCCTAAACATTTACATGATATATGCTTACTATAACACACTTTATCCTATCGGGTAACATCACAAATTTTAAAATCCTACACAGCAAGAGCAATTATAAGAACAGAAAATCTAACCTGATTGAGAGTAACAAGTCTTACCGTATAAAAAAACTTATCGAATAAATTATCACAACGCTGTTTTAATAGACTAAAATCTTACTTTGATAACTTAACCAAAAACACTAACCCAAGTATGTGTCTGCTAAACGACCACTAATGTTTATTCCAAGTTCACATCTACTCTAGACAATGTTCAATGGACATTTCAGTTAAAAATCAGGTAGCTAGTCGTTGGTGCATCTCATCCATGGACATGCTCCACGTTTAGGATGCTCTAAAGTCTAAATAATTAAAACATGACCACCAGAAAAAATCCACTCCTCCCCCCCCAAAAAAAATGGTATCAAATAAAAATTAATCTCTTACTTCCAACAAGAATTCACAAAAAAAAAAAAAAAACATAAACGGAAAAGAAAATGAAGTTGTTGTAATCATACTGGTTTCTCTCAGACAAATGCCTCGATTCGTCTTCAGAATTGAATGGAATGGATAAATCAGACTCGTCATCTGTTGAAATCATCACCGAGAAACACTTTCAAACAACATTTCTACTTTTTAAAATCAATTTTGTTTAAAGAAATGGAAATAAAAAACTTCAGACATCCAAGGAAGGAGCAAAACAGCAACAGCTCTCAAGCCTGGCGAAGGCGAAAGCTCTTAGGCGGCCACTGCGAATGTTTCTGAGAAACAAGCCTTTGGATTATCATCATCAGTTATTAATTTTTCCGTAATCAGACCAAATAAATACTAATTAAAATATTGCAGAATAACACCAACATGATGAAATTGAAACGTTATTTGGCTGAAGCAATCATACGGATCTAAACGAGAAAAACAACATGATCAATTGAAGGAGATATTTGAAAAGATAAGTACAGAAATCCTCCATCTATCATCACCAATTGGCAATTAAATTCAACAATGAAACTAATGTATGATACAGAAAACTAATTCAAATATTGCAGAATAACAATTTGATGAAATTGAAACGTTCAATAGCTGAAGCAATCAAACGGATCTAAACGAGAAAAACGAGATAATCAATTAAAGCAGATATTTGAAAAAATGAAAGTGCAGAAATTCTCGATCTATCGTCACCGATTAAATTCAACAATGAAACTAATGTATGACGATAACTTGAATAAAAAATGGCGGAATATCGAATTAATTGTGGAAATTCTCTACCGCCGAATCAACCGAAAGGATTAAATCAAAATCAGCAAAAGTAATCGACAAGAAATTTGCAGAACAAAAAGGTAAAGGAGATGAATGATATGGAAGTATCTCAGACATCCAAGGAAGGATCAGAGCAACATGAGCTCTCAAGCCTGGCGAAGGCGAAAGCTCAATCAGGCGGCCACTGCGAATGTTTCTGAGAAACAAGCCTTCGATTTTTCATCACAGATGCATTCCACCATACTTATTGCAAGAAGAAAGCTCAAAGATATACATACAAACAATAATCGAAGAGATACATATGTATTGTGGTGATTCAGACCAGAGAATCATGAAGTTGCAGGTGAAGTGGAAGGGCGACGATCGTGGTATAAATAGAAGAGAGGCGATATTAGGGTTCTATGCGAATTAGGGTTTAAGAGGTTTTATTAATGAGTAAACTACATGTTTAGTCCCTATAATATGCACAAAGTTGACATTTGCTCTTCTAAAACCTATAAGGGTTTGTTTGGTGTCTAGACAAGACATGACAGGACAATTGTTTAGTGTTTGGTAAGATAGAATTGAACCGAACAAAATAAATAAAATGATCAATTTACCCTTAATGAGTTGTTCATTTTAATTAATTTATGTAATTTATTAGATTAATAATAAAATAATTATTTTTTATAACATACTATATTAAAATTTTCGTCAAAACAATTAAAATGACACAAAATAAAAAGTTTATGTAGTTTCCAATTTTTATTTTTATCTTTTTTCTATATTATTTTTTATTATTAATATATAATAAATTACATAGATTAATAAAAATATAGAAGCCGTATAACAATAATATTTTGAGGATAGTAAAAATGAAAGTTTAAGAAACATAAAATACAATAAATAAAATTTAAAGTATGAATAAAATGTAAAAAGTAGACATGTTTGATGTTTTAGAAGATAATTAAGTTTTATTTTGAAGTTATATTGACAAAATATAAGTTTGTTTCACCTTGTTCCACCCAGTTCCATGGGGTATGGGTGGAACAGGCCTGTTCCACTTTGGTCCACTCTGTTCCTATTTGTTCCACATAAAAGTCATGCCAAACATGGAACAAGGATTCCTGTCATGTTCTACTCAGTATACCGAACGCACTCTTATCCTTTTTTTAGCAGTTTAACAAGACTCATAGCTTATTCGTTTAGCTATATATGACTATTTGATAGTGGATTAATGATGTAGAAAATGGTTTATAAAGCATACAAAATGTTATATATGACGCACAATTTATGATTCTACAAAAACTTTCCACCTTTAAGGTTTATAAAACAGTTTATTAGAACATTTAAACATATTTGAGGTCTTATAAAATCGATTAAGTTTGTGAAAGATGGTTAAATATATTACTTAATTGATACGTGAGACCAAAATATTTGGAGGACTCTTCCGACCAAACAAAAAATATGTAATTCTCAGCAAAGTCGTTTACTTTTTTTAATGCAAGAAGTTTTTCTTACTTTATACACAATACATAGGTCATCGAATGAACCTTCGATTCAAACATTGAAATTTTTGGATAGCTGCGAGAAATCATGTTCGCCCTATTTCCGGATGTTATCTCATATCGTTTTTTCGTGAAAAAATACCAATTGAAGTGGAGGGTTTTTTCAAACAACAGGGGACTGGGTCAACTATTCGATCAAATTATATTGATCATGTTTCCCATCTCTTCTCAAGAGACAAGGGGGCTATTTCTTTGCAAAATTTTGCTCGATTTCACATGTGGCAATTCCGTCAATACCTCTTCGGTAGTTGGGGGAAGAATCCTCCCATATCTCGTGCTAAAGAGCGTGGAGGTTCGAGTCCGCTTCAAAGCATAATATTGAGAATACTCAAGAAAAAAAAATCGTTAGCTTATCAAATTATCTATCGAGCCGTGAAAAAAAAATTCAACAAAAGACATAAACAAATTCATTATATGTTTTACGTCAAACAATACATGTAGTAACTCTAGGTATAGCAATAAAAGCAAGACATATGTTCCGATGGAGAGAGTAACCTATGATTAAACACTTCCATCTAAAAGTGTTGTAATAAGTTTATATGACATCTTGAACGTTTTAAAAAGCTTTTCAAGTAAATGGCTTCTAATGTGAACGAACAAAAAACCATCAAAATGGCGATCCACTGTACACTCGTTAACATTCTTATTTATTAATATCGTGTATATGATTAATATTTAACTTTTCTTTAAGTGAATGATTAATATTTAAATTGAATTTAGTATAATTATTGTATTTTGTGTTTTTTAATCGTAGAGAAACACGATTAACAAAATTAGTAGCTTGAATCATAATCTCAGAAGAACGACGTTTCATGTCAATTGCATAAACTACAATGCATAGATTAAAAGATAGTTGACGATAAAATGTTAGCATTTGGATCGTTATTAATTATTGGGAATCTTTATTTAAGAAATTTTTATGAGAATCGGTATTCGGTACATCGTGTGCTATTTCGTATGATTTTTTTTATGTGGAGGGGGAAGACCCCTCCAAATCAAGCAAAAAACCAAAAACGCAAGACAAATACGTACTCGGGTGGGGCGAACCACATCCACCAGAAAAGCCAAGGAGCCCCGAGAGAAAAAGGAGGGAAAGAGAAAAAAACCATCGTCTTTTCATCTATTACTAAAATTTAATGTAGTGATTAACATAAATCTGTTTCAAGTTGTGCTTGTTTCACATGTACTTTTTTCACATTTTGAAACTTTTTGGCGTGTTTACACGTAATATTATTCATTTGAAAATAAATATATGTAGTGGCGGGTCCATAATTTAGATGACCTGGGCCCTAGGGATATATAAAAAAAACCTTAAAACAAATAAGTCATCCAAACCAAAACGGTTTTGGGTTATCCTATTTGCGGGTTAGATGGTTCGGTTAACCAAATAAGGTAACTTTCGATTTCGATATTTTACCACATCTGTTAACCGAGTAGCAAATTATAGTATAAGTTAATTTATATAATTTCCTTCCAGATGAACTGGTTTGAGCATATATAAAATTAACATTAGGTGAATTGATTTATACTGAAACTATCGAGAAGTGTATATTCCCATTATGTCTGGATTCGGTATCATAAGTCATGTTGTTTCTACTTTTTCATGATAACCGGTATTCGGGTATCTAGGCATGTTTGCCATGATCAGTATAGGTGTTTCCAGAAACTCTTGTTTGGGCTCATCATATGTTTATTGTGGGCTTAGACTTTGACACTTGTGTTTGTTTAATAAAACCATCAACCAACGTTATCATTTATGTAACGATTACAAAAACTAGAGGTAACAATATAAGAGAATAATGACCATATGCTAAACAACAAATTAAGGGCCGTTTGCCAAACGCTTATCCGGTAAGTGCTTACCAAATCACGTTACCTCACCGGATGAATATGGTAAGGACAAAGAATCTTACCCGGTAAGAACGACATAAAGATCAAGAGTCTTACCCTGTAAGTGAGGGTAACAACTCTTACCACGGTAAACGCTTATAGGGTAAATTGTTGCATACGATATCGTTTTGGTGGACTAAAATCTTATCCGTTAAGTAATTAATAGTGTTAAATTTGATCAATAAACATTTATTGGGTAAGTTTTTGGTAAACGGTGCCTAAGACTAAAAATAACGAATACATATTTTTATTTCTAAAATTTTATATAATACCATTTTTAACCCTTATAATTTCTATAATTTATTACTTTTAATAGGGGTGAGCATAGGCGGGTACCCGCCCTTTTTGACAGGAACCGGAACCGGCKGTTCTTGAGATATTGGAACCGGAACCGGAACCAGTTAGAGCGGTTCTTAAATTTTTGGAACCGGAACCGGAACCGCCGGGAACCGGTTCCCGTTCCG